GAAAGGCAGAGAAGACGGTAAAGGAGAAGATGAACAGAAGGAGAAGATGAACAGTTGAAGACAGCTGTTAAGTTGGAACATGTGAATTTTAATATGTCTAGGTTAATTGTGTACAAATGGGCTTTTAATTGAATGGTGACAGTATATGGGCTTTAAAGTTTTAATTTAATGGGATTGAGTAATTGGAATGTTCATTCTATATGGGCCTTCTTTTTTAATTTATAACTCATGTATGTAAATGAGTAGAAAATTAAATTGAAATGTTAATTTATTGCTTTTCTTTTTATTTCATTGTTGTATTAGTAATACATTTGGATTGACTTATTATAATATATTATACATATACTTTTTCCTATTAATGTTGTAATATTATTATTTTTTTTTTAATTTTCTTACACTGACTGTCGTATCCATGTACCCGTGTTCAAATTTGGGTACGTGTCCCCGTATCTTAACTGTTAGAAATTCAAATACCGGATACTTGGATATGTACCCGTATCCGATACTTGTATCCGAGTCCAGGTAACATAGCAGATTGGTACGTTATTTTGTTGTGTTGTTTTGGTTAAAAAAAAAAAAATTGTTAATTTCTGTAAATTTGGCGTATGGGTTTGCTGTAAATTTCGTTTATTATTGATTTACTTCATTTTGGTCAAGCTGCTAATTCTTGTTTAGGGTTGGACCGTTTCGTTCTTGGATTTGTTGAAAAATACTAGGTAAAAAACATGCCTGGGATATGTTGTCCTCTTGGATTGGGCCTTTGCCACTTTGTGCCTTGTGAAGCCCAATTGGCAAAACATTATATGCAAGGCAGGCAGGCAGGCGAACCGACGAGATGTCGTGATTGATCTGAATTCTCTCGACTCCCTTTCTCTTGAACCGCTCTCGCCGACGCCGACGCCCGCCGGCAGTACTGCTCCATCCGCTCATCGCTCGCCGGTTCGCCATACGTAAGATTTAATCCTGGCTCCGCCACTGGATTCGATAGCTTCTGTTCTATCTGCTATGCTCTTTAGGACTTCCCCTATGCGTCGAGGCAGTTGAAGCAACATGAGATGAATTATTCGGCGCACGACTTGGAGTTAGCAGTTATGGTTCATGCACTTAAGGATTGGAGGCATTATTTCTACGGGAGTAAATGCGAGATCTTTACGGACCATAAGAGTGAAATATTTGTTCACGCTGAAGGAGCTGAACATGAGGCAACGAAAATGGTTGGAACTCGTCAAGGACTATGATTGCACAATTAACTACCATCCTGAAAAAACGAACGTGCATGATAATTTTACTTAACAACATGATTATTTATTTGGGTAACTTAACAAAATATGTACAGAAACAATTTTACTAATTAATTCAGGATAAATGAGATGCAAAAACTAGTACGATATGTGTTAATACTATCTTAGGCTATAAATAAGTGAGAGAAAAATTTTCACTTAATTTAATGCTAAATTTTGTTTTACCATGCTTAAAATTGACATATTTACATGAATATGTTATTTGTATAAACTAGTACGTGCCCCGCGCGATGCACGGGAAAACAATATTACGATTGTGTCATATGTTAAATATATAAATAACATTAATTATAATTCACCTATTGTTTTCAAAACAGGACCGGACCGAACATCCGACCGAATAGACCGGCAATCGGTTTATTGTTCAGTCCGATTAACTTAAATATAATGTTTGCTTGCAAACCGATCAACACCAGTCGGTTTGGTGTTCGGTTATAAGAATAGTAAGATTTTTTAACATATTGTTATTTACTTTTATCGTCGAATTTGAATGTTTCACTATTATTTTTGCATCAAAATTTTATTTATGTGATACGTTTTATTCTTCCAAATTTCTAGATATTTATATTAATAAGATATTGGTCATAGGTTGTTGATAAGGTTTGTTTCCAAAAAATATTAAAGAAAAAATGCAAGTACATCCTATACACTTTTTAATTTTGAACCAAGATGTGCGTTCTAAAAAAATTGATACCTATCAATAAGACCGTATAAATTTTAAATTACTATGTACATTATCTTTGCATCAAATTTTAATTTCTTTAATGTTGAGTTATTATCACGAAATTCAAGACAATTTACCTTGATATTGTAATCGGCTCATATTAATCTATATGTTAATAAGGTTTGTTTACAAACAATTTTAAAGATACCAATCTTGTACAACTATATTTTTTTAAAACTTTAACAGAGATGAGTTCATATTGGAAAAAAAAAGTGCACAAATCTTTGTAAAAATAGAGCACGGTTTTTTTTTAATAGCTACAAAATTCGTAAAATATGGAATGTATTTAATTCCATATTAATCAAAGTAAAATACAAAAATATTTTCAAAATAATTAATACACCATTTTCAAATGGATTTGAAAAAAAAAAAAATCCACGGATTTTTGCAGATTTGGAATACGAATCTTTTTAAACTTGATCTACAAATCCAATATGTAAAATATGATGATATCTTTTAAAATTGATCTAAATATTAAAATATGGAATGCATTTGATTCCATATTAACTAAAATAAAATACAAAAACATTTTCATATAATGAAAATGGTGTTCTGAAGTTGGTTTGAGAACAAAAAAATTAATGAATACTTGATTAAATAGAGCAGGTACTTTCGTAAAATAGCTCTAAATATCTCACATGTAAAATATAAAATGTAATTGAGTACATATAAAATAAAACAAATCTATCAAAAATAATTTAAAAGGCTTTAGTAAATCGATTTACAAAAATATGACATATTATCCTTAAGAGTTAAGTCAACAAATTTGACCAAAAAATTAATGAAACTTTCCACAAATAAATTTTCCATCAACATATTTTAATATATATAGATTAATGAATGTTGATATCAATTGATTTTAAAAAGGATTAGTATTGAAATAAAACTCAAATTTTTAAAAGCATTATTTATACCAAAATTGAGCAATTTGGTTACCAAAACTAAGGGGGTGATTGTTTACCATTTGTACAGTATTTTTTTTACTCAAATTCTAATTTAACTCAACTTTAACTCAACCACACTATCACCAATATTATTATATAATTAAATAACATCAACAAATCATTATTACATATCACATCAACTTTAATTCACTATTCATCACTTCCAATCATTTTCTCTTACTTTTACATCAAATCAATTTTAACTATTTTATTTTAAATACTATTTTAATATATTCACTAACAACTAACTATACAACTTTGCTTAAACTTAACCATAATTAAAAAATTCTAGATTTTTTACTATTGAAAACATAAACAATCACCCCCTAAGTATCCGTTATTGAAGGCATATTTAAATATTTCTCATTTAATAAATAAAAAAAAAACAAATCTTGCCCAAAATGGTATGCAATTAATGTTGGCAGATTTTTTGCTTACTATTTTTGGTAAATAGTAATTTTAATTATATATATATATAGATAAATATTTTTTTAATTCATGAATTATCACAATCCAAATCATAAATAAAAATTATTAAATACTCTTTCTAAAAGAATAGACAATACTAATAAATAGAGTAGATTGAGTTTTTTTAATCGTATTACTTTGTATTAATATTTTTTCTTAAATTTATGGATTCTAAATAAAATTAATAAAATATTAAATATTCTTTCTAGAATAACAGACAATACTAAAAAAAAATATTAGAATTTTTTAACGTGTTATTTCATAGTGTTTGGACGAATATATAACATTATCACATTGTCTAATTTTCAAGAGTTCTAGTTGGATTAGTACTATTGTAAACATATTCACATTTCTTTAAAAATAAATTGGATCACGTAGTTTCCTTTATTTAATTATTCTTTATTTAAATAATATTTAAGAACGTTTGATTTATTTATTTAAACAATATAATTTTCAGTTCATTTAATGAGAAATAATAGTTACAATTAATTCACATATTTTTTTTTAATAATAATATATTAAAACATTTAATATTCTTTAGTTGGTGATTTATAAATATATATATATTTTTTAAAAAAAAATTTACTAACACTTGATGAAAAAGTTATGAATTTTACATTTTTCTAGATAAATTAATCATATGGATGACATATTATTATTTATTAGCACCATAAACAATGTAGATTGTAAAAAAAAAAATACATATTAAGAAGTTTTAAATGATTTTTGTGAATCATCTATCTCAAAAAACTGTTCTAATAAGTTTTTTTTTTTTTAAATTAAAGTTTTGGGCCCAAAAAATTTATCAAATAAACTATTTAACAAACGTACTCAATAACAAATTTGACCGGTTAAATCTTTCAATTAAGTTCAATCTCTTTAATCTTTTATCTTCCAAATGGGGCCAAATAACAAGATTTCTTTCACGAAGTGAGATAAATACACGTGTCCAGATCACACCCGGGTAACATCGTAAGATTAGAGCGCTCGTCGCATATGATCCTAGCCAAAGGCATGGATAATCCACGAAGCGGACCCCACGTGGCGAAATGCCCCCACACAGCAGAACCCGACCTTTCTATATAAACACTCCACACTAGCGGTCACTACCTCATAAGCTCCAAGTTAGAAGGGATTAAAAAAANNNAAAAAAAAAAAAAAAAAAAAAAATCTATCCATTAACACTCGCAGAGTAATATCCCGCCGGCGACGATACTGACTCGCCGGAAAATGAAAATTCCGATCAATTGCTCCGATTCTTCTCCCCGCACGTTTAAAACTCGAATCTCCGTCTTCCATCGCCACGGAGAATCATAGCACATTTTCTTCGATTTATTCTTCCGTTCCTTTTGTGATGCTCTTTGTAGGTTTTGGGGAGTCTGATAGTGACGGATGCTGTGAAATTGAGCAAACTGTGAAAATGGCGTCTGGAATTGAGAATTTTTCATTTATCTACTTTTTCCAGCTTGTAGGCACCGAGAATTTTGAAGCGGTTGTTGGTGAAATTTTGATGAATTTGTTCTGAATCCTTTTTTTTTCTTCAATTCGTAAATCCGAAACAAAATGCCTTTTCCAATGAGAATCCAGCCGATCGATGTCATCCGTAATGACGCCGTCAAACCGCCGGTGCTGAGGTCGCGGCTGAAGCGACTTTTCGACCGCCCGTTCACCAGCGTTCTGAAGATCTCGTCGGCCGACAAGCAGGCAGGCGGAGGCGAGAAGGACGGCGGCGGTGCGGCCGATTTCGAGCCGAGCTCCGTTTGTTTGGACAAATTGGTGCAGAGCTTCATCGAGGACAGCAACGAGAAGCAGTCCTCCGCCGCCTCCACGAAGTACGGCAGGCACCGCTGCAACTGCTTCAACGGCAACAGCAACGACAGCTCTGACGACGACGACGAGGAGCTCTGCTTCTTCTCCGACTCGTTAACAGCAAATTCCTCCGTCATCGACCCTTCCGATACTCTCAAGGTAACCAAAATCCCCCAATCTTTACCTCTTTCTTCATTTCTCTCTCTAAAATCAACTGTTTTTCAATCCCGTCCTTTCTCCGTCTGTACAGAGCTTGATACCCTGCGCGAGCGTTGCGGAGAGGAATCTGTTGGCCGACACTTCCAAAATGGTCGAGAGCAACAACAGAGCCTGCAAAAAGAAAGACGATCTGCGAAAAATCGTCGCCGACGGCCTGATTGCCCTCGGTTACGACGCCGCTGTCTGCAAATCTAAATGGGAAAAATCATCCTCCATCCCTGCCGGTAAATCACTCTTCTCAACCACTACCTCAATGTATGCGTACGTTTTTTCGTCTAGGTTCATTTCTACAGTATCGCGCTGATTGTTCAGTTCTGCTTGACAGCAGGCGAATACGAGTACATAGATGTGATTGTAAAAGGGGAGAGGATAATAATCGACGTTGATTTCCGATCGGAGTTCGAGATCGCGCGGTCGACGAGCGGCTACAGGACGGTCCTGCAGTGCCTGCCGTCGATTTTCGTCGGAAAATCCGATCGCCTCCTGCAAATTCTGACCATCGCGTCGGAGGCCGCCACGCAGAGCCTGAGGAAGAAAGGGATGCACATCGCGCCCTGGCGCAAGGTGGAATACACCAAGTCAAAGTGGCTCAGCCCCCACACGCGCGCGCCCGAGCCGAGGTTGAGCGGCGGCGCCGTCGACGTGCCTGCCGGAGAGCAGCCAGAGGCGGAGGTTGTGGAAGCCACGGTGAGCGAGTGCGGGGAGCTGGATCTGATTTTCGGGGAGGGGACGACCTCGTCGTCCGAGTGTGCTGCGGAGGAGCGCGAATCGCCGGCGAGGGTCACAGGAGAGGCTACGGCGGCGACGGCTTGGAAGCTGCCGGAGGTGAGGGCGAGGAGTTTGGAGAGGGGGAATAAGACGGTGGTGGTCGCCGGCTTGGCTTCTCTCCTCAGTGAAAAACTCTAAAAAATTATTGTAAAAATAGAAAAACAAAAAAAAAATGAAAAAATAAAAATAAAAAATTCCGAAAAAAAAAAAAAAAACAAAACGAAATGCATAGGAAACGTGTACATTGGAGGATTTTCTACTTTTTTTCTGCTTTTTCTCTCTTTTTTTAACTTTTTTTCTTTTTTACTATCTTAGCTTCTTGTTCACCCCTCTGTGCTCTCGTGGAAAGGGTATGTAAAAAAGAACCAAAAAAAAAAAAACAAGGAGATGAGTAATCAAAGGCTCTCGACTCTCGAGCCATCATCATTTTGTAATAACTAAGGGAGTGATTGTTTACAAAATATTTCACTTCAAAAAATTTCAACTAAAATCTAACTCAACTTTAAATTAATTTTACTATCTTTAATATTATTTATATAATTAAATAATACAAATCAATTATTTTTACACATCACATCAACTTTAATTTATTATTTATCTACTCACGTAATTTTAACTACTAATCATTTCTAATCATTTATCTCCTACTTTATATCAAATCAATTTTAATTATTTTATTTGAAATATTATTTTAACATATTTTTTAAATCCCACTAATAATTTACCACACTACTTTTTCAACTTTAACCATAGTTAACCAAAATGAAATATTTTGGATGAAATATTTTATAAACAATCATGCCCTAAGAAATTGAATTTTGGTTACCAACAAAATTATGCATTGATCTAATTCCTGTGAACGCGCTGAGCCTACGTGGTTGTTTTTTGTGTTTCAGAATCCTACTTGGCGAATAATCATGTTTCGTAATTAAGTTTGGACAAATAATATTGATATATTAATAATTAATAATCTAGGTTCGGACATTCTTTAAATATTATTTAGCTAACTTAGATATTTTAATACTACTTGTACTAATAATAAGTGACTAATATATCCCTAATTTTTGATTTGCTTCCTTTAATTAGCTATTGAATTGTATATGTATTTTAAAAGTTGATAACTTTTGTATTTTTATTGGTTTTACATATATAATATATCAAATTAATCATCTTTTGATGATTTTCGATTTGACATTCATATTGTATATATATTAAATAAATAAATTATATTTATCATTATAATAATAAAAAATAATAATATTTATTCAAATCACCCCTGTATATAATTCTCGAATGCGATGAGCCTAAGTGGCATGCCCGCATGCTTCAGGATCCTATGTGTCAAAATTTCATGCTTCATTGTTTGACTTGGATAGATTTTAATTTAATTTTAATCCCAAAATAATTAGGTTCGGATTACCACAAATATGTTGATTTATTTATGTTCATTTTAGATGTATTAATTGTATTTTAATATCATTTCTGTTATAGCCATTGAATTGTAAATGTATTTTAAAAGTTGATAACTTTTGTATTTCTTATCGGTTTTACATATATAATATAACAAATTGATCGTCTTTTGATGAGTTTCGATTTAACATCCATTTTGTATATATAAAATAAATAAATTAGATTTATGTTTATAATAATAATAATAAAATTATTTATTAAAATAAATTAAAAAATAAAATTATTTTTCAATTAATATATTTATGTTTATGTAGTTATATGTTATAAATTAGAAACATTATTATAATATGACACATGTAAGTCACACAAGTAACAAGTGTCATACTAAAATCTACAATAATATATATATATATATATACATATATATATTTGTATAAAAACTATTTAAATTTTCAACTACTTTTTTTTTCATTAATTTTAAAATTTAAGTAAAAAATTTAACAAGCACCCGTGTAATACACGTGTGTTGTACTAGTTTTGATTATTTTTGAAAAAAAAAATAGATGATAAATAATTAATAAGTTAATTTATAGTTTATAATTTATTTTGGAGCTTAGCAGAAAAATTAGCTTATATTATGACATTTGATAAAATTAACTGATAAGGTAGACGAAATAAAATTTTTGCGAGATTATTTAAAAATCTATCAAAATAAGTTTATGAGATAAGCTCGAACTTTTTAAAAAATATGAATGTTTGAAATAGAGCCTCAGTAGATCTATCCAAATAACATGTGATACACTCAGTTTATAAACTCATTAGACTACTCCTTCATCACCAATTGATATTGAAATAGAGCCTCAGTAGGCTCGCCCCCTTGCGTGGTTCATCCTTATGGGATCGTACTCCTTCCTCCGACTATATATAGGGTGCTAAAAATTACAACTCCCTTTTTTTTCACTACGTACCGCCCTTATTTGGACCGTTTTGTCCCTGAAATTTTTCTAAGAAACCAATCCGGTACGCCAGCGATACCGACCGTCCACGCGGTCGGCCAACCAATATCGCCGGCAGGCTTGGTTTTTTTAATAACTAAAATTATTTAAAAAAATAGAATATAATTAAAATAATATTATTATTGAACTTACATTAAAAAAATTAAATTAGATAATTTAAATGTTTAAATATTTAAAAATATAAATAAATTAATCTTTTAATTTAGGTTAACTTAGACAAATTTTAGTTAGTAGCTATTAATAACACGTTACATTTATATAAATATAAATAAATATAAAATATATTAACATAGTACGTTACTAAAAAATCCTCTCTCAAACCCTAGCCCAAATCCTCTCTCTCGTTCCTTGCCAAAATCTCCGCGTTTCATGCCTTGGGCGGTCAGCTGATCCCTTCGCCAGTTGATGGCCTATAGCTGCGCGGCCATGCTCTAATCGTGCTCCCCTCAGGTCTTCTCGGCTCTGACAGTGAATTTCCGACGTCCTTTGGTCGGCTCCGTCTCTGTATGGTTGCCCATGGCGGGCTCGACGGCTTCGCTTCTTTTTCGTGTTCGATTGCTGATTGGTGATGCATGGTTGGGGTGTTGGGTGCAACCGTGGTTGCTCGGCTCGTCTGAGCCGCGGTGGCCGGGAGTTGAGGTGGATCGATTCTCGCTCCTGGGTCCCTATTCCGCTGGTGTTGTGGCTGTGGGATGACAACACGCCTGGATCTAGGCCAGTGCTGTTGGTCGGGTCTTGGGTAGCTGGTGTGTAGGGGGCTGGTCGATACTCCTATGGTCGTGGGTCTACTTCATCCTTGGAGTGGTTCGAGGTTCGAGACTCGTCCTTTGATAGGCATTAGACAGTGGCGGGAGTGGCGTTCCAAATTTCGGGTCAAGCTGTGCATGGTTAGTCCTTATTTTGTTGGTGCCTTGTGTTGGGTTTGGTTACCGCGCTGGGGAAGGGCTTTGTTTGTTGGTAGATTAAGACCCTTTGTCTTAGTTTGTTCTCTTTGTGGTCGTGCTTGTATTGTTTATGTTTGCGTTTTTGGTTTGGACAATTTGGTCTCTGTGAGCTTGAGTGTGAACTTATTATCCTGTTGGAACCGTACACTCGGGCATTATCATGTTGGGATCTTTTTTAGTACTTTTCGTTTTTGTTTGTGTTAGTTGCTTTTGTGTAGTTGCGAGTTTGTTAGTCTAGCGTTGCGAGCAGGCTCTAGGCGATATGCGGATCTGCCTCAGTCTTTTCAGCCTTAATTGGCAACGAGGCGAGCCTTGTACCGCTCAACACTGCCATCAGGTTTCCGCTTAACGTTGTACTATTCACCTTTTGGTTGTTTTCTATTTTCACTTTGTGCGATTTTTATTAATATAATATTTCTATCATTTCAGAAATAAAAATATAATACGTTACTTATATATAAATATAAAATATTCTAACATAATACTTTTTACAGTAGTAAACATTTATTTCTAGTACTATATAATTTACAAATAATATTAAAAAATAATTCTATAATATAAAAATCTAATAATTTTTAGCACTTTTAAAATTATCAACCGTATAACAAAATACTGATTATCTGTAAAAAAATAAAATAAAAAATAATATAACATTTATAATTATTATCTACTAACAAAAATATACATTAAGTAATATAACGATTTATAAATATATTTTAAAATATTACCTTTTCCAGAAATAAAATTTATTTCTAATACTAACTAAATTTTTAATAATGTAAAAAAAAATACAAGGTACTCAATTCTAATTTAAAACATAGTAATAATAAATTCTATAATATAATCAATCTTAATTTATAACATAACAATTTCTAAGTTCTAACATAATAATAAAGTCTAATTTATAACATAATTTCTATAATAATAAAAAAACCCTCCGAATGGCCTTTTTTTTTTTGAGTTTTCTTGAAAAAATATCAGGGGCAAAACAGTTCAGGGGAAGAGGGTAGGTAGTAAAAGGCGACGCTGCTTAGAAATTTGCCTATATAAATTTAGCATGCATGCTATAAGAGTTGCGATGATTTGATCTATGACCTGCAATAATTTAATTTACCAGGCCTGCTCTGGGTCTAGAGCTATGTGAGACTCTCAAGTAAAATGAGTGTTAGAATATCACATGTGGATTATCTCACATTAATTTTATTTTACAAATGAGTCTACTTTATCACTTGTGAATTGTCTCACATTGATTTTATATAACAAACGAGTATAGTTTAGAACTAGTATGAGTCCCGTGCAGAGCACGGGTAAGAGATATTCAAGATATTCACTAATATTTATAAATTAAAAATTCTTAGTAATATTTATAATTTAAAAATATGAAATCAATATGTAATACAATGACTTATTCTAATTTATGAAAAATGTTATATAACGTTTAAATTGTACAAAATTACATAAAAATGTCTATTTAAAATTAGTACACAACTCGTGTAGTGCACATAACTGATAATAAATCACATTATATTCGTTTCAAAATAAGTATCATTTCAAAAATTTTATTCAGAAATTCGATTTAACTCTAATGTGATTACATAAAATAGTTATTTTGATAAAATTTTATCATATATTTAACACCATATGTGAAGAATAAGTGTAGATATAAAATTTATATTATTTCATTACTTAAAATAACCTATTTTTGTATAAACTATTCAAATAAAAAAAAAATTAAGTAGTTGACCAATATATTAAACTATAAATAATT